ATAATTAAAAGGTCTACAGGGACGAAAATCCCCAAGCTTGCATGTCTAATGTGAAGAAAATAAATAGGAATAGCTAAATAAAATACAAACTACATGTGACAGACGAGAACAATCAGGAAAATGTAAACTTTATATGCATGAATTTCATATAGCTACTTTAATAAAGGAAAAGAGAATAATCAAAATACGGAAGCATAAATGACTAGAAATTAACGTGTATAAAAAATGAAGAGACAAATCAATGATATCATAAAATAATTATGGAAAGAATAACGAATTTAAAAGAACAACCCACCTGGATGAAATATAGGAAACATTTGCTGTGCCTGGGATCATTTCTTTCGCACTGCCAAAATCACAAACTTTAAGTACAAGTGTGTCCTCGTCTACAAGGAGGTTCGAGGATTTAATATCACGGTGGCAAATATTCAAAGAATGAAGGTAAGCAAGAGCTTTAAGCATCTGATAAATAAATATTTTGACAGTTAAAATGGGAATATTAACGTTCTGCCGAGAATATCGAAAGATTAATTCACAAAGGCTTTCAGGGAAGCATTCGAGGACAAGATGAAGGAAAAGATCAACCCCGTGCGAATAGGAACTAGAACCTCCAGGTGCTCCGCCCCTCGCCCCAGGTGCATTGCGACTTCCAGTTCGTGAGTTAGAGCATGTTGAATAGTAGTAAAAATAAAACTTCACGACGTTAGGATGATTGATCAATTTTTGCATCATATTTAGCTCACGGTTTTTATAGCGTGGATCCTGTAATACTCTCTTAACTGCAACCTGCAAAGATTTGCCTTTAGTGGAATTTGAAGCTTTCGGATTTTCTTCTGCAGACTTTTCTGAAGAAGTGCCTCCAGTGTTCGTGGACGAGCTGGCAGGAAAGGTAAGTGTAGCCCTTTCGATTTGTCCAAATGTGCCTTGTCCGATTGTCTCCGTAAAATTAAGTTGAATAGTCACTTGCTGGTTATCAACAGCACTTTTGGCCAATGTAATCATTTGCCTGGGCGCTGGGTGTCTGTTCGTTACAAGGCTCATAAGGTAATTTCCCTTTAGGTCGAGACCAGGACCTTGATGAGAGCCTGAAATGTGTGAATGTTTAGATCCAGATTGCCATGGAGCAACATTTGTCGCAGCAGGCGCTGCGGCTTGCGAAGATTCTGTGGCAGCATTGATAGGCCTGGAGGCTATGCTCATTACGCAGGTAGCTATAAAAGGCAAGTGGTTGTCATAAGCAAAGGATCGAGAAGTATTTGATTGCGAATCAAAATAGAATATAAATCATAAAAGAAAAAAATTTCGAAAATGAATGTGTGATTTGGTAAAGTTAAATGAACAAAAAAGA